AGGTTACCCATATATAGATAATTTTACTAATTAATGGAGTCAACCTTCTCATAACATTTCTAATAATAAGCATACTATATCCCTTTTGTTCAAGTTTATATAAAAATACAGGTAGTCCTTGACTTACAACAGTTCATTTAGTGACAGTTTAAAGTTACAATGGCACTGAAAAAAAGTGACATGACCATTTTTCACACTTATGACCAGTGGTGGGATTCAGCCAGTTCGCACTATTCGAGAGAACCGGTTGTTAGAAGAAATCTTATTTTGGTTTTTTCCCCACTTAACAGGGCTAATCCTGTAAGGAAGGCAGGAAGGAAACATTCAGGCAGTGTTTCTAGCCTGATCTTTATTGCCCTGCTTACAGAAACTGCCTCTCTGGTTAACCCTTATTACATTGTAACAGCTAAGGCGCTTCGCCCATAGACGTGAGTAATGTTGAATTGGCCACGCCCACACGGTCACATGACCACTGAGCCACAACTACCCATCTGGTCATTAGGGCAGAGAACCGGTTGTTAAATTATTTGAATCCTACCACTGCTTATGACCATTGAGGTATCCCATAGTCACATGATAAAATTCAGACACTTGGCAACTGACGCCTGGCAATTTATGATGGTTGCAGTGTCCCGGGGTCAGATGATCACTTTTGGTGACCTTCTTACAAGCAAGTCAATGGGGAAGCCTTAGCAACCCTGTTACCAATTTACCGACTTCAATTATTCACTTAACAAATGTGACAAAAAAGGTCATAAAATGGGGCAAAATTCACTTAATAAATGTCTCACTTAGCAGCAGAAAAATGGGGTTCAATTGTGGTTGTAAGTTGAGGACTATCTTTATTTCTACCATAATTTAATAATTTGACAGTATGTTTGATGTATAAAACATTTTTTTATTTTAAATCTCAGATTAATTTCTACTAAGTAAATATTGATCAGATTGAGATGCACATCTGCCTATCTTGAGTACTTCCCAGGTTCACACTAAACCAAAGGCAATATCAAAACAGCCTGAGAGAAACATAGATTTCAAATGACCTATCTCAAACTGACTTCAGAGATGTTCAGTGATTTCACATCTCAGATCTAAAATTGATCAGTGCTTCTTGTTTTAAAATATCAAATTTTGAAGTTCAAACTGAAGTGCCCACAAGAAGTCAATCTAATATGGACATTTGAAATAAGAGAACAGGAAGATAAACAATATGGGACATGGGAGCTATTTTATCAATGGATAGATAATAAAGCGTGGAGATGACATATTATATATGAAATGAAATTTGGATAAAATATGTAAACACTTGTTTTTTGTTAGGGGAAAGAACATTTGTCATATATTTAGATTTTGAAAATTTTGAGAACACAAAATGATTTTAACCAATCGAAACACTGTAATTGTTTGGAAGGATGATATTTTTATGTGGTTTTTGTTTAAAAAATAAAAAACTTTTTTTTTAAAAAATAAGTCAATCTAATTTGGGAATTCAATACAATTCAAAGTTAAACTTCTAACAGACAGTTACATTATTTTAAGTGCTTTTTAACTTAATTGCTTTTTGAAATCCAGAAAACAATAAAGACTATTCATGAGGACCCATCATGCACAATGGGTCGAATGTGTTAATGGAAGTAGGGAACAAGGAGTTGTGTTTTGTACAATGTTTCCCTATGGCCTTGTAACCTACATTTTTGCAATGGCATATTTTGGTGTTCCTTAGCGGAGGTACAAGGCAGGATGAGAAAGAGGGAATTTCCCATATTTGGATCATTCTCTGGATTTCTGCACTGTTATTAATATATTATTGCCTGGCTCTTGGAAGAGTTGGCCTAATTTGAATCACGGGTTAACTGGTGGTTTTAGTGTATTTCTTGTTTCTTTCCATCCCCTCCCTTCACATATAGACCCTTGTAATTGTGTAGTTTCACCTATTCAGAATTTCTTACTAATAACAATAGTATTGCGATGCAGGCATAAACCCTTTTGATTTGATTAAAGTTTTCTATATAAAGGTTGGTTACTCAAGGAAGAGTACCCTTCTAATATGTCTAAGTCAGAAACTCCTTCTGTAAAGCTGCCCTTCAGATATTTTAGGGCTTTTTAAAATTTATGTTCCACGTTTCAAAACATCAGTTTTTACAGAAGAGGAAACTTCAACTCAAACAGTTAAAAACAACAATTGTAGGACAATGATTGAATTGTATGATTTAATGATACAGCAGTCAGTCACTAAAATGTATAGAATCACGTTTTTCTTTGTGTATAGGTTTGCAATATTTTCTGGTCCCAGATGCCATTGCACAATTTAGTGTAGTACTGTGAACACTTTCACCCAGAATTTCACAAGTTTGTCAGATTATGCAAGATTTCAGTAATTCTGCCAGGAAATTTGAGATCTTACAGAGAAATTTGAAATTTGGAAGTTAATAATCATTGCGTAAGAAAAGGAAAAGAAGGCAGAAATATTAAAAGCATTCTTGTCCAAAAGACCTAGTGACATGATAGCAGGGTTCCAATATCTGAAGGGTTGCCACAAAGAGGGAGTCAAGCTATTCTCCAAAGCACCTGAAGGCAAGACAAGAAGCAATGGATGGAAAGTAATCAAGGAGAGAAGCAACCTAGAACTAGTTATCTGTCAACCCAAGGAGCAAGAGTAGCAGCAATTAATCACCAGAAAAGGGTTATGTGTATATTTTCCATAGGCAAGCTTGTTGGAGAGCTGTGGGAATGCAGTATGTATGATTGTCCTTCCATTCCATTATGTGTTGGAAGCTTAAATGATGTTATGGGTGCCATATATGAATGTGAGTTCCTTTCTTGTTTCTGTGAAGCTAGCGGCAGTGGAAATTTTGCAAATTCAGCTGATGAAATCAGGCTCTGCTGATGAAATCAGGCTCTGCTGATGAAATATGATGAAATCAGACTATTCTATATGTTGCTTGTGTTATAATGCAGAAAGTGTGCTGAATGTATGTCTCTGTACTTATGTCTCTGTGCATTATCTCTAGTATAGTTCTTCACTTTGACAGGATTTCCAAAGATGCTGGAGGGATATCAGGGACATTTCTGGAAACACTGAAAGCCATCGGGCAAAGAGCAGCACAACAGTTTCTACAGTTATAGAAATAAAAGCAACAAATTTATGTATTCTCTTTGACTGTTTTTCCTTCTTCTCTAAAGTTGATAATGTTTAGAAATATCTGCATAGCCACAGCATATCTCATTATTACGACCTAACATTCCCCTTCATTATTCTGAATATGGAGAGAAATCTCCTTGCAGTGTTTACATTGCAAAACGTGTTTGTTCTGCAAAATGCCAACATGTCTGCTGTCAAATTACATAACAATATCAAACTTCCCCCTTTTCTATGAAAAATACTTTATGGCAACATTCTGCTTTGACAGACATTGAAGTACATGCCGCACAATGTTTTAATAAGTCTGACTAAAGTTATATTGTGTTGAAAAGGCCATGGCTCAATTCTTTCATCTAACCTGACTTTTGCAAACACAGAAAGGTTCTACCCTTAGTAGAATGACAGTCTTCTTTGCCACTGTATGGCATTATAATAGGTAGAACTAAATTGCTGAAGAAAATTCATATTTTGGGTATAAAGTTCCTCTGGCAGGTCAATTTTATTTGAAAGCTGCAATGTTAAATATGCATAGAAATAAAATATAACAGTGATTGTCGTTTGTTGAAGCAGCTCAATTTTTCTAGTTGTAGTTTCAAAACTGGGTTAAATAGGAAAAACATATTCACTAGTTTACAACAAGAATGATTTTCAGTTGTAGGGAGAAGGAAAAGGAAAAGGAGAAGGATTTGGGTGAAATAGCCAAGCATGGACTATTTCACCTCTTGAGATTTGGGATCAGCTTTATGAATTTTTGGCAGTAGTTCAGATTGTTTCCTGAATCTGGACTATGTTTGGGTGCTGTGTTTATTTCCCCAAACCCCTTATAGTAAGGGTAATTTCTTTCCCCTCCAGATTGTTACTGTCTGGGATAATGACTTAGAACTCAATTTCTGAATATGGCGTGTTTGTCTAATACGGGTTAAAATCTCTCTAGAATATGATCAGACTAGAAGAATAGTGGTTTAGCAAATGTAAATGTAGTGAGTTTGGAAAAGTTCCACTTTTATACCTCCCCTACAGAGTGATAAACCTGAAATACATCATTGTCTGCTCATGCACCATCCCTCATTCTCCACGTGGTGTACACTGAGCAGTGTATTCCGTTAGGCAATACACTTTTATGTGCTGTGGCTGGAATGGAAATCTTCAGTACTCCCATTTTTTTCAAGAGTACATTGGGAATGCATGATCTACAATACCCTAAGAGGCAACTGTGAGCAATTGAAATAGGGTGTTAGTATTGCTTTATTGATTAGAAGGCAGAGGAGAGGCAAAATGGCCTTAAATAAGTTTCTCCAATACTAATATGATACTTTAATATAAGGCAATCCTCGACTTACAGCCATTTGTTTAGTGACCATTCAAAGTTACAACAGCACCGGAAAAGTGCTCTGACAGGAAAATACGGGCTCCTGAGCTCCGTTTTCAGCTGCAACAGCTCCTGCAACCCTCTGCCAGTGAAAACAGAGCTTGGGAGGACCGTGTGCAGCCCTCTTGAGCTCCATTTTGTCTGGCAGAGGCACCGCGGGTCGGTCCTTCGCTGTCCTTCGCCAGATCTAAGACCCCGTGGGCCGGAGCTGGTCCCCAGACCTTGAGTTTGACACCCCTGTAGTAGAGCATAATATATGTCACTAACTTCTTTTTACTTGATGGAATACTATATGCAGCATATCAAAAGAAAATGCGGAAATAAAGAGAAAATTCCAACACCATACATTTACAAAACCAAATGCCTTTAACATAACTTGTAAGAGGCTTCTATACTTAAAGAAGTATAAAATTAATTCCTAGGAAAAAATAAGTCCTTATTTTACTGATTTAATTTTAAAAAATAATGCAACAATTAAATTTACACAGATTTACTTGAAAATAAATTGTATGAATTCATTAGTGCACTTTCCTATTATGTAATTTGGGAGTGCAGTCCCATACAGTTGGGTATTATGAGATCACAGAATCCTCATTTTTTTCTGTTTCTTTTACCTGTCAATCAAATTTCCAAGAATATAATAATTTCATTGAAAGTGACACCATTTTAGATATCTCAATAAATAAATCCCAAAAGACACATAGCCCCAAATTTAATATTTGAGGTAAAAATTCCTGAAATTTAGCCCATATTCTTTTTCTTGTCAGATCCTACAATGCTAAAGATTAGTACTGAGAATTTTCTTTTTAAACCTAATGGAGTCAAATAAAATAAAAGAAGTAATTTGATTAATAGAGTATATAATAACCCAAGTTCAGTAGTGCCTTGACATATTCATATTTAAAAACTTTAGCATCCAAGCTTTTAAAACTGAATAAAACACTGTATTTATTATTTCCTTAACAGAACATAAAATGTACACAATATTTCTATAGAAAGTTATTTCAGATCAGATTAGGTTCACAGTATATTATGAAAGCAATATAGTTCACCATCGAAGGTCATGTTCAACAATTCCCAAATTTTATCAACACAGATTGAAAATTGTGAACAACTGCTACATCTACCTTAGTTAAAAGGTTACCAGTGAAAGTGTTGTAATAGAGGAAATTTTGAACCAGAAAAACTAGGTTGCAGAGCATTTGGATGATTTTATCCTGAATTCAAAGGCAACACATTCATCCTCTTTAAGAGAAAATTGTTTAAACAGTGTACACTATCAATGTTGGCACATGGTTGCAAAATGTTAAATGCAAAAGCAGTACAGACGATGAACATTATACAAAGAAACATGGAATAGGCAAATATTCAATACAGCAAGACATAAAACATAGAATCTTAGGAAGGGGTTTTCTAGTCCAATTTCCTGTCCAATTCCCTAAACCATTACCCAGGTCAAATGGTTGTCCAATCTATTTTTGAAAACCTCCAAGGATGGAGTTCCCACAACTCCATGAGGCAAGCAATTCCACTGATTAATTGTTTTTACTGCCAGAAAATTTCTCCTTTCTTCTAGGTTGTATCTGTCTTTAACAAACTTCCGCCCATTACTTCTTGTCCTGCCTTGGAAAATAAGGCAGTGCTTGGTGCTTTGGAGAATAAATCAATTCCCTTTTCTCTGTGACAGCACCTCAAGTACTGGAAGACAATTATCATGTCCCCCTAATCCTTCTCTTCAACAGACTATACATAAAAATGACTTAGCAGATAAATCCCTGAAATATATTCAGTTATGAGGACCACAGTTGGTACACTGGAGAAAAAGAATGGTGGTGGGAACTTTACATAACCAAAATTACATTTGCATAATCAAAAGAAATGGACTGATCAACTAATAATGATATATGACATAATGAAACTGATAGGTTCAAGGAAATGACAATTGATTAGCTATTTTGTATAAAAAAAGCAAACATCACTGGTGACAATTCTCAACTGGATATGAATTAACCATAAAAGACCCAGGAAACCCCAAAGAAATACTGAGCAGATGATGAAGTTCAGTTCAAAGGTTGTAACTTTGCCAAAATAGTTATGTTTTCTTATGGTATAATGTAAAGATTATTATATATTATATTGGGTTTCCTCAAAGAAAGAAGATTCAGGTTTAGTCATGTGTAGAGTTAGACACACTGAAGTCGGTCCACATTGATTTCAGGGTGTCTATTCTACATACAACTAACTCCAAATCATTGCTGAATGCTGCTATGGATTTGTGGCATGGTAATGTTCCTTTACATTTTACTTGTTGCTACATATTACCATAGGTATAATAGTTGCCATATTTGAAGACAAGAATTTTTCCTGGTATTGAATACAGTTCTCCAATCTTGCTTGTACAGTAGTTGCTTGAGATAACCATTCTTTGCTTGTTTCATGAAATAGAATGAATAATCTCTTCATCTTTGAGCATTAGTGTTAAAAAACACTTTCATGCCTTTGCAAACATGTTCTAAGCACATCAAATCCATCCTTATGTCCACTTGATAGAGATCTTCCTGATGTCCTGGTAGACAATACACTTTCCCTTCTAGTCTCCGAACTGTCACTCAGTAGCACCTTCCGTCCTACTACCTGCATGGATTTCTGATAAAACTCTTTGGATGCAAAATAGTAAATGAATGGATCTATGCAGTTGTTGAGACAACTAAGGCACAAGGTGAGTTTGTAAATATGATAGTAACCCTCTTTTTCTGTGAGACGGCTGACAATGTGCACCAATAGGATAAAGTTGTTGGGTGCAAAACAAATGATGAAAACTAAGAGCACTATTATAGCCAAGTAGACCGACCGTGTCTTCTGCCCATTGCCATACTTGTGAGAAGCTTGAATAAGTTTCCAAATAATGGCGGTGTAGCAAGCAACTGTAATTGTGAATGGAAGCAAGAAAAAGAAAAAAAAGGGCAACAGGAGGAAAGCTCCCCATGCAAGAACACCGGGAAGCATATTCCAATAAAGGACATCAAAACAGGTTGTAATATTCAGCTGGTTTACTTTAAAAGTCAGGTCAGTTGAGGCAAGGGGCCACAAGGAGAGTAATACAATAAACCACATTACAATGCAGGTAGCAATTGCATATCTCTTTTTTCTCCATTTTTGGGAGGTCAGTGGGTAAACCACCCCCAAATAGCGCTCAAAGCTGATGAAGGTCATAGTCAATATGGAGGAATACATGTTTGCATAAAACATTATTGTGACGTAGCTGCACAGCTGTTTGCTGTAAGACCAGTGGTTCTTCTTCAGGTGGTATATAATCTGAAGGGGAAGACAGGAGGCCAGTGCAAGATCTGTGAGGCTAAGGTTAATCATGAGAAGAATTGATGTTGTTTTGGGTTTGATATGAAAGAAGAGAATCCAGAGTGAGAAAATATTTCCAGGGATACTGATAATAACAACTAGCGAATACACAATTGGTAAGATGACCACAATATCAGGATTCTTAAGCATGTTTATTGTTGCATTATCCAGTGAGGTGTTTTTCATCATTTTCTGTATTTGATTTCCTTCTTCTTGAAAATTTGAAAGATATATCTCACAGCTTAAATTTGTACCCTATAAAGTAGAGAAACACAGAAAAGTGGTCAGTGAAAATGCGAAAGAAAACTTAGATGTGGTTTCTTCTATGGACCACTTTCTCACATGTCATGTACGCCTTTCTAAAGGCCATCACATATCCCTTTCTAAAGATATATGCTAAATTAACTAGTCAATCTACTGCTTTTGCTACTAAATTTATTCAGTATATCTGTTAAGTACCTCAAAATTAAATTTGCCAAGCATTTGTACATTGCATAGTAGCACTGCAACACATCAATAACATTCAACAAAATATAATAAAACAGTAATATAGATTATAAAGGTGTAAACTATGAAGAGAAAGGAGGGAGGGAGGAAATTTAAATGAAACATTTTTGGGATTAAAAATACCATATATATGAGGTAACAGAAGCACTCAGCTCTGGCCACAGAAGTAAGACAAGGATAATCATGGCAAACCCATGAAGTTCCTTTTTAAAAAGCCTCTCGCTCTTCTGGTCTCTCTTTGGATTTCAGATTAAATAGATACTTTAAGAAGATTATGTGCATTTAGTGGGTGGCATTCCATTAGATACCATTGTCCATGGTCATCACTGTGGTCCAAATACTTCTTTAGTGCTCTTAGATACCAGCCTCCCTATTTTATTAGACTAAAATAAAATAAAAAATAGGAAGCAGATATGTTGCAAGACAATAGTTTTTTGCATTATATTTATTTACGGGAATGGCTTTTGCTCCACAAAAGTTCCAATAGGATGGTTGATGCTAGCTTGAATTCTGGCATATAGTTGTTTTGTGAATGTGCACCCTAGACTCAAAATTCTAGTTGTGCCACTGGCACCGTCTCCTGATCTACTGCAAACCTAGCACATTGAATTATGTCAGAGGACAATAAAAACCAGTGAAAGTGAAAAAGACAACAATAACAATAATAATGTCAAAAATGCTGCTGATACAAATATGGGACTTGGTCCCATTTATTCAGCAATCACCAGATGAACTGCGAGAGGTTGTACTAGTAAATGCACATGCATACAATGCAATGTTTTAGTATTACAATGGTAAATATTCCTAAAATATCATATGTATCACAAGATAAAAAGAATACTTTTGCTAAGCATGTATAGAACTTCCTTTTTTATAAACCATATCATGTGCATACTATCTGATTAAAATTTCAAAAGCAAATTAATATATATCCGCTAATGTCTAGAAATGTGAACACTTCCCCTTTCATCACAAGATCAAAAGCAAAACACAAATGGTTGACTGCCATAGAAAGACAAGTCACGGCATGTCAAAGAAGAACTTGCCATGCATTTTATAAGTAACTACATACTGTATGTACGTCCTGCATGCATCGAGCATACAGAATATACAGTGGAATAAAATATTCTATTTCATAAGTATGCAGAACTAAGAAAAAAAGAATATGCAGTTGTAAGCCAGAGAAGTTATAAAGTAGGTTACCAGTTATAGTAGTACTTATGCCATATGGAGTATTATTCACTATATGTAATTAATTCATTCTGATACATTTTGGCCCACATGTTTCAAGGGCAACCAAAGTTCTAATAGTTCTATTATTGCTTCAACCCAATATTTGATCCTTTTGGCTCAGGAGTATTTTGGTGAAAGATACAGAAGCAATGATGTAGATACAGATCAGTTATTTTCAGTCAAAGAAGCATATTTATCCATTTATTTAGAATTTGATACATAAAATATGCCTATACAACAGGCTCAGAGAAAGTTCAGAACAGAATAATCAGATGTTGCCCTTCTGTGAAGTTAAGAAGTCCAGAAACCTCTGTAATTGGAGAAGTTTAAGGAGCACCTCATGGCACCATTACAACTGCAGAAGTGATTTAGAAAACAAGCAACATAGTTCAATAGTGGGAAATCCACCTGGGTATACACTTAGACAAGGTGTAGTTCTAAGTATGTATACCATATAAAGAAAGCACCTGCTAAGTCAAACCAGACAGGAATGAGTAAAAGCCTATTTCTTTTATTAGGAATAATTCTACATGGAGAGATCCTTGGACTACCAATCAAAATACATTATTTATCTACTGCACCGTTTTTTGGTACAGGCTTTCTGCGAAAAGGAAATAAAAAGGTGAAACAAGAAAACTTGGGTAGATTACAACCCGGAAATAGCATTATTGGCTCCATCTGCTAATCTATGTATGAGAAAGGATGTTGTTTGCTGTGGGGATGGCAGTTAAAGTTCTGTTTCAGTTTCTGGAGAGCTGCTAGGGTCTGAAGGAGACAAACCAAGCTGAAGCTGAACTTAAGTAGGGTAGAGCTGATGTTTCTTCATCAGGATCACTTATCAGGGTTGTATTTCAAAGATAAAGCAAGTCTGTGCCTTGAGGATACTCTCAAATGTTTTAATAAGTCAAGTCTACTCCCTTTATATACACGCTCTCTAAATCAGCCAAATTATTATTAAATTCTCACATTTATATATTTCTCAATAATATGCTTAAGAAGCAAAAATCTGCTTTGCATATCCCTTCCTAGCTAAAAACCAAACTATACTACCCAAATGTTGCTGTCACCATGTCTACTCTTTGAATCAGAAGGTTAGATAACACCTTCCCAGGTACACGAATAATCTAATCCCTCTATCATTTTTCATTTCCTTTCTGTTACATTTCCTTTTGTATAAGAGAAATGGCATTCTTCCATTTATAGGGTACAGAAGCATACACATATATGAAATATGCACATTATGAAACAAGTTGTAGAGTCACTTTGTAAGCAAATAGGAGCCATATTTTAACCTTTAAAATAAAATCTTAATTCTTGTTATAACATCTTTAACTGCATATTTCTTGTCATATTTCAAGATCTTACAAAGATTTTACTTTTGTTTCATTTTTGTTTTTTCTGAGATAATACCATTTCTAGATATAACAACTGCCAAGGTCAGCTACAATAGTTGGGCTTATACAACAATAAATGATGAAAAATAAATCTTTTTAAAGCTACTGTATGCTTATGCATCAATCTCTTTTTAAAATATTTTTTCTTGACATTGTATGTACACTTACCAATCTAGATTTTATTTGCTCCTTTACATGCAGCCAATTTACTTTGTAGTAGTAAAGTCAGAAGGTGGAGAGATAATCACATCACATTTTTCTCTATAAGCTGTCTTCTGAAAAAGGAAAGTCCTTTATTTTAGAAAGAGGGGTATTTTTTTATTTGTTTTTGGAAGCATGTAAAAAACTTGTGGTAAGGCACAACATTACCACACCGCAAATCTTGAAAGCCTAGGTAAAGACTTGGAACTCCACATAAGGGACTGCAGGAGGAAGACTTTACAAAAAAACCAACAGCTATGTAATTGCTGAGTTGAATATAGCATAAGGTGACCAGACATCCCGCTTTTGGTGGGACAGTCCCGCTTTTTAGCAATTTGTCCCGCGTCCCGCGGCGTTTCAAAAAAGTCCCGATTTTTCATTCTGCCTCCTCAGTCTCGCTGCCTCTTGAGCCCCAGCTGATGGCTAGAAGAAAAAAAAACTGTTTAAACTCTTGCCCGGGGCTTCAAAGGGCCGCCCTACAGGCAATCAGTGTAAAGAGTTCCTGAAGCAGTTTTTTTTCCCCTAGCTAAGCTGCAGAAACGAAACCGAAACCAGGATCTTTGGTGGAACGTGACAAAATGAGGCAGAGAGAGATTTATTTTTATTTTTATTTTTCCTCCCCAAAAAAGGTAGGTGAAAAACTGCAAACAATGGGAAATTTAGGAGGAGAGTTCAAGATTTTAAAACACAAAAGAAAAAAAAGCTGTATTTAACTAGGGAATTGTAATAATTGAATTGAGATACTATTAATTGTATATTGTGTTGAAAGCAGAAATGTTTAAGTTGTGGTTCAGAGGAATATATGGGGGAAATTATTTGGTTTATTATTATTGGTAAATATAATTAATTGATTTGTAAGAAATTGGATTGCATGGAAATAATTGGAATATTCATGTTCATATTGATTAATATACAAAAAAGATAGTTTTATAACTAATTGATTTATATTAAAATGTTGAATTTGTATTAAACAACTGTATTACATAATTACATAATTAAACAATGTGAGGATGGATATAAAAATAGATGACAATGGAAAGGGGTATAATATAGAATAGAAGGGAAAAATTGAATTTGATTAAGATTAGAGATGAGGATGAAGGGTAATATTGGTTTTTTTAAAAAAATAGATGAGGAATAAATATGGCAAAAAGGAAATATAGAAATTGTAAATTTAATTGAAGTGACTAAACACTGTTTAAATTTGTGAACCGGCCAAATACTCTGTTCAAAGAAAATAAATTGTATGTTTGTATGTGTGTTTCTAATTACTGCTATTTATTCATATTTGTTCTCTTTTATTCTTTAAAGTTTAACCATTCATTCTTTATCTTAATATCTTTATATTTGTTTGGGGTTGGCTTTCTTCCCTTTCATCTTTTTTATTGTACAGCAATCTTTCTCCTCAAACCTACCACCTCTCTCTTTTCTTTCCTTCTTACTTTCTCTTCCCCCCCTCTTCTTCTCCTCCCTACTTCCTCTTCCTTTCTCCTTCTCCTCTCTTCCTCCCCCTCTTACCCTCACTCCTACTCTAATTTCCCTTCCCTTCCTTCATCCCTCTCTATTGCTGTATCCTTTTATGCATATGGACTACTCAGAGGGCTGAAAAAGTTATTTTTGACTGGTCCTCGCACTTTTGACCAGTCATCGAACTTACGACTGTCTTCACATTTTATGTTTTTTGCCCTATCTTATCACCATGGTGAAGAGAAGCAGTTGTGAAATGAGTGACATGGTTGTTAAGGATGCTGCATGGGCATAAATGTGAGGATGGTCATAAGTGTGAGGACCAGTCAAAAGTGCGAGGACCTGTCAGAAATGACTTTTTTCAGCCCTCTTGTTAGTCCTTTTGTGCATATGGACTACTCAGAGGGCTGAAAAAGTTATTTTTGATTGATCCTCGCACTTTTGTCCAGTCCTCAAACTTACGACTGTCCTCACATTTTACGTTTTTGCCCTATCTTGTCACCATGGTGAAGAGAAGCAGTTGTGAAATGAGTGACATGGTTGTTAAGAATACTGCACGGGCATAAATGTGAGGATGGTCATAAGTGTGAGGACCAGTCAAAAGTGTGAGGACCTGTCAGAAATGACTTTTCAGCCCTCTGAGTAGTCCCTATACACATAGCCATGGCCACCCGGTCACATGACCAGCTAGCCACGCCCACCCAGTCACATGGCCTCCAAGCCACGCCCACACAATAAGTCACGCCCACAATGGTGTCCTTCTTACCAATGTTAAAATCTGTTCACCTTACCCTATACACATAGCCATGGCCACCCGGTCACATGACCAGCTAGCCACGCCCACCCAGTCACATGGCCTCCAAGCCACGCCCACACAATAAGTCACGCCCACAATGGTGTCCTTCTTACCAATGTTAAAATCTGTTCACCTTACCCTATACACATAGCCATGGCCACCCGGTCACATGACCAGCTAGCCACGCCCACCCAGTCACATGACCAGCTAGCCATGCCCACAAAATAAGCCACGCCCACAGTGTCCCTCTTTACCAATGTTAAAATCTGGTCACCTTAATATAGCACAGAAACTGAGAGACATTAGAATAACCCCAATAAGGTTAAGATAGTATGGCTATTTGTTAGGGATCAAGAGAGTTGTCATTTAAAACAGTGGTTCTCAACGTTTTCTTCACCACAGACCCCCTTTAAATAACTTTTGTGGCCATGGACCGAGGCCACAGACCACCAAGATTTAACTCAATATTTAAATCATAACATTTCTTCAAACCTTCACAGACCCCCTTGTGATGACATTGTGGACTCTCAGGGTCCACAGACCACAGGTTGAGAACCACTGATTTAAAACATCTGGAGATCATTCAAGTAAATATCCCTCTAGCCTACAGAAAAAGATAATACGTAAGAGAATCAGTTTGACACTATTGAATAAGACTCTGCCCCACAATTAAGCTTCTTAATTGCCACCAAGTCTCAATCAGAGTTTGATTGGGTCACAGACCCATTATCTGTGACCATCCAGATGTGGTTAATTGACATCTCCTATGCTTGGTACATGATTCATGGGGGGGGGGCAAATTCCCTATTCAAAGTCTAAAATATTGGTGATACAAATGCAAAAATGATAGGAATTTTTGTATCCCCTCCTGTGAGTTTTGCCTACTATAACTCTGCAGATTTTGTACTATGTGACATTAAAACAAAATCATGTACAGCATTACCAATTTAGGCTAAAAGTATTCATATACAATTTGCCTGGAGTAATATGTGCTGGAGGCAAATTTGGCCAAATTTGGTTCAATATTATTATATTATTATTAATTAAATTTATATGCTTACCATCTCATTCTAAAAAGTGAGTCAATAGAAGCAGAAATTTGTTAAAGGACTGTTTACTATTATTTTTTCTTCATCCATTCAAATTATGCCTCTACTCAAAATCTTCTTGACACATTTTTTTTCCTTTTTAAAAAATACCCCACCAGAGTGTTAGTAAAATGTTTATTTATGTGTGATATAGTGTTAGCCTCAAAGTAGATAACGTATTTCATTCTAGGTCAGCTCTCGTGATTAACCAACAGGAATAAATCTTGCAAAACAAAAAATGTTCACGGAAATGGATGAGTTCGTCTCTCTGGTAATATTGTTATCAGCAAGATCTCAACAATAACCTTTTTATCTCTTCTGCCAGTCTAATGAAGTCTGCTTCCCCTCCCCTTCACACTTAATCCTTTTTTTTAAAAAGATCTAGTGGTTTCAAGCTTGGCTAATCTGCACATTGCATTACTGCACGCAAACACCTTACCATGTGAAAGTAACTGCTTGGTGGCATGATTTTATTGTAACTTTCATGTGGCAGCTGTGTGCATTCTGTCCTCAGAATGCACACAACTTGTGGTGTAAACATGCTAAAACTGTGAAACAGAAGCCAGAAGAAATGAGGAAGTGGTGGAAATGATTTGCATGAAAGGTTTGTGGAACTTGGGGAGGGGGGCACATTGCTGAAACACACATTTGAAGGTAACCTCCAAATCTTGTAACCAATTCAAAGTAATATATCAAGAAGCTTCTCTTAATTGGGCATTGCATTCCCAAATTTTGGTCAGAGTGGAAGTTGACAACAAACCAACAGTAGTAGTCACTTATTCGCACTTAAATTTTATTTTATTATTCAATTAAGTCAATATAATTAACACAATTGCCTCCACTATAATTAATAATTTGCTTCCGTCATATTAAAAATGACAATTTGAACACCTTTAGAGATTTTAAGAACGATAGGACCTTGAAGCAGAAGTTTATCCTATAATAGATAGATAGGCAAAAAAGGTGAACTTTAAAAATATAATACCTTACAGAAAACTTTTCTATCCAAGGGTCTTTCAGGAATATTGGGTTAGAATTCCTGTTATTTATACCCAAGAATGATTAATGACTCTTACCTGAGGATTACCTAACCAAATGTCATTTAAAAATGTATGACTTCTGAAGAAGCCTTTCAAGAGACTCTTATTATTTTAATGACCCAAAGGTGCTTTTTATTTTTCCTTGAAGACATTTGGCTTCTCATCCAAGAAGCTTTTTCAATTCTGACTGAATGGTGGGGGGTGGAAGAATTTTCATTCCTTGCAGTCCACGCTCACCATTCAGTCACAACTGAAGAAGCTTCTCGGATGAGAAATGAAACATCTTCAAGGTAAAACAAAGTGCAGTTGTCTTTTGAAAAAGCACCTTTGATCTGGATGACTGAGAATCTCCATACATTATTTTAACTAAACAGCATATCAGAGCAACAGTGTAATGACTTCTTCAAAGAGAAAATCTTTATCATCACTATTGTTGCCATCATCATTATCATCTGCATTGCTGTATTGTTTGAATAGTCATGGAATGGGAATCCCCTGTCTGAAATCATTGTCTACAATAAATTGAAATGAAAATTATAATGCTCAGACTGGAATAATAATAGAATGATAATGGTCTATTGTCAACTATAGAGTTCTGTTGAGGAAGTGAGTGTCTAGACTCATTTTTATCAGATTCATGGCACAGAAACAGCATTGATCTTTTTGGTAGATGACCTCTGTTGGGACATAGGAAGGAGGAATGCACCCCTTGGTATTTTAGATCTCTCAGTGATTTTTAATTTTAA